TTCTTACGTATATATATGGACGAGTGAACCATATAATTCGAAAAATTTTTTCTCGCGTCAAGACGAGACGAACTTGACTTTCCTCCGAATTTTTAATTCATTTCAGTTGTAACTTGAAAGAAATTCAGTTTAATTTCATTTTACTTTTCACTCGTGTTCTAACAATTGGGACTTATTTTCTGGTTAGCGAATTTAGTAAAGATTGCATAGCTACAAGACGTAAGTTAACTGTCCACAAGGAGAAAGGAAGAAATTAATTTCTATTAATTAACTTTAACTTGAAGTTGGAACTCAACTATCGGCGAAGCATAAAATTTCCATCAGATACATTAAAGTGAAAAAAAAAAGAATAGCAAACTTTTATCTGTATATTTTACAAAAAGAAAAGTCATTAAAAATCTCTAGAAATGCACTGTTTTCGTATCTAAACAGTTTCTAACAGAAATTATAAATTGGTCACTTTGACCATTTCATTTTGGATAGTTCCAGTGTCAAAATACCAAGAGTGATAAAGATCTTATCGATTAATTTAATTAATTTAATTGCATGGAAACCTGCAAACTAAGTCGCCGCTTTGATTTCACGAGACACAGTCATTTGGTTTAGGTTAGGTTTAGATTTAGGTTAGGTTTAGGTAAAATTATTCAATTTGATAGGGATGTCAGGGGCTCCAACACAGGGGAAGACAAATGTACTCCAAATGTTTCAAGCACCGGTAATTTACTGGTGCGTGACTTTCGACTGAATTAGGATTTGCGGCGGTTAGGTTAGGTTTATTTTTAGCCTCCCCCGTAGCAATGAGTGGGAACAGCCGAAAACCTGTTGTTCTTCGAACGAGTTGCGCGACAAGAACCACGTAATTTGCCAACCAGCTCGTTTAATAAAACAAAGAGTGGGTACTCGAAGATTAGATATCTAGTACGAGCAAACAGTTTGAGTAAAAGCATTGAAAAAAATCAATGCCGAGGGACACTGTTTGCCAAAAAGGGGGGGAAAAAAATGTTTGCCTTACAATTAGATAAAACGTTCGTTATTTTTTTTTTTTTTTTTTTTTTAGATAAAATTCACGGTTGACGATGTGCGTGGCCGATAAAAAACGCCTCGAGAAAGGGAACGAGGGATTCGAACGTTAAAAATCGATCGGCGAGAGCCGCGCGACGTAATTCTCGAAACTTTAAAGACTGGTTCCCCATCGCGATTTACCATACGGGAGACTCGTTTCTTTGTTTACAGC